ATATATATATATATATATATATATATATATATATATATATATATATAATTTGTTTTATAAATAAATTATTACATCCTAAAAACATTGTAATAAATTTAGCACTAATATGCAAGGCTTTTGTTTTGTTGCTCGCATTTCTTATCTATCAAGCTTCCTAAATTCGTTTTGTTGGATGTATTTAATATTTTGAACGTTACAGTTACCGACGTTAAATGATTGTTCTTGTTATCAAAAATTTTCGTTTGGTTGAGAATTACTGTGAACTAAGAGGGTGCTTCGTTTATTTTTCAGTGTCCAAATTGCTCGCGATACCAACCCTACTATATGCTTTGTCACTCGTGCTCAACACTTGTTAACTCGCCTTGTTTGCAAATAAACTCGATGGCTCGGAAGGACGCTCATGTTGCGTTTTATTTCAACTCGATTGGCTACCGATTGGCAATTCAGCGTTAAAATATTTCTGGGTCTAGAAAAAGTATTAGTAATTTATTTTCATTGATTGTTATGTCATATATATATATATATATATATATATATATATATATATATATATATATATATATAACAATGTTAATAATTTTAATTATTACGTTACATAATATGTGTTAGTGATATTCTCTATTTATCTGTCTATAATTTAAATTCAATATCAAATTCGATGTCGCATTACTTCTCTCAGAGTTCACAGAATTTATCGTCATTATTATTTTAACACTGCAAATGTCTTTAAAGTATATTTCGTTACATTCTTATCCGCATATTCTTTTCTCTCCACTTTAATTTCAAGCTCAGATCGATTGACTTGTAACGACGTCTTTGTGCTTTCTTTTTCAACAATGTATTTTTATACTTTGCTCTTCCAACATAAAATATCGTTTAGTTTAGGATATCTTTTTGTGGCGTGATTGGTCTGGCCAGATGTAGTCATTCATTTCGCGTTGATATTTGAAGAGGATCGTTCTTCCTTGACGCCAAAGAGTGACTCTTCGTCGATGACAACTTATTCGCTAGTTTTTCTCTATACAGCTGCCGCAGGTTGGTTACTCTTTCTTGATTTTTTTTCATATTTCATTTAAACGACAAATTCCCTTTTACGGCAATTGATAACACCGTCGGCGGCGTTCTTCGACGCTTCGGAGCTGTTTGTCGTTAGTGGGTTTTTATTGATCGGTTGAGTGGAAATGCGATCGAGCGAAGGAAATGTCTCTGACAATGTTTTCTGCTCGAAGGAATTAACCGTCGTCGTGGGAGCATTCTTCGGCGATGATGAGACTATCGATTGATTCTCATGACGTGTGAGTGCTTGCCCGGACACCATTTTCATCGAATTTCGACAATTTCCACAGAGATATATTATCCGAACATCAAAAATTATCAGATGAGGTGATAATATCTCATGTGGTAATTGCCACATCATTGACGAGGGTCTTTTGTTTATCCAACTGGATAATTACCTAGACTTTTCAACGTATCGTTCGGTATGTCTCTCGTTCATTCCATTAAACAATTTCACAAAATTTTTATATTGAGAATTATCTTTATTTTCCAAACAAACGCAGCAGCTAATCATATTTAAAATTTTGCAAACTGTAAAGTTTGCGGAAATGATTCCCAACCGGACAATCGGCAGTAAGTTGGCAAAAACACCAACTAACCCAGTAAAAACCAATTAACAGTAACATCATCGTAATAGTAATGTTACAATGTAATTGTTACATAACACACGCGTTATATTGCACTTACATTATTGAATAGAAGATTATATATAAATTTATGTTATATTATTAATAGTTGGTGTTTACTGGATATGGATTTGTTGCTGCGTTCTCAATAACGATGGAAATAATAAAATTATATGTAACAACCTGAGTAATAAAAGAAAACGATGATAGTGAAATGTTTTTAAGCGCCACGCGACTTGATTGGAGGAAAAAATAATTATCAAATGAGGTGAAATATCAAAGGGTTCATGACATTTTACCATGCCCTTTTACGCATAGTAAAAAACAAAACCAAGTTTCAAATGAGAATATGTCAGCAGGTTCTGAATTTATATCTCGTATTTCCACTTGCAAAATACTTGTCCATATATCTTCGTTCATGCCATCTTATAAATTAATATAATTCGCCTAATCGTGATAAATCTTTGAAGAATGATGATTTATAATTCTAATAAAAATTCCACTTTGATGTAATATTTACTTAACAAGTGCCACTTTACCTTGATCGCAACGTGAGCTTTCTTTATTACATAATGTTTACGATGCTTGTATGACGGATAATAATAATAGATCCCTATTATTTGTTCCAGCAGTTTGACCTGATTTAATAAAGGGTTCAGTTGCTGCGTATTTAAATAAACCTTATACATCTCGACGGCACCCTTGCCGGAGTTTGCGCAGTGTCTGTTTTTCTCCAACAAAACTACGAGGTGTATACGGCGCAGGTAAATCTGTTAGAATCTATCATGTCTTTATTGAAGATAGATTTGCAACGAGATCCGAGACGAGATTCGCAACGAGCGAATGTGCGTGTGACAAAACCGTCGTTCGTGAGACATCGAATAGTAAACGACTTTTAAATCGCACAGTCGAGTACAAGCTCTTTAAACACCAATTTTAATTAATATTACCGATAATTATTAACATTTATAATGTTGACAGGAGTGATCGACGGGTTCGTATATTATAATTCCATTATAAATCTTTGGCTAAAAACAAATTATTGCATTTTGTTTCAATTGTTAATTAAAACACGGAAAATTTTTAACATTGTAAAATAACGATTTTAATAATTGTCTTAATAAATGTCGATGTGTCTTTAGTGATAATACTCGCAGTATATTTTGCTTATGTCTTTTGTCACATTTTTATTTATGCAAATACCAATGAAACAATTTACTTTTTAGAACATTACTATGTTGCGAGGATGACAACTTCACCGTTGAACGTGTGTCTGTCGAAGATGACGTTATTCGAAATCGTGTGATGTCTCTAGTGTGGACTTCTTACGGTATTATAGTTCCAATTATATTAATCGTGGGCATTTTCGGTAATGTGGCGATCTTAATTGTGCTGTCCAGTCCAGTGTTTCGCGGAATCGCGTATTTGTACCTCAGCGGACTCGCGCTGGCGCACATCGGTGTTGCATTATCTTGGATAACAATCAGTTTGTATAATACTATTTTATAAACAAAAATATAAAGTGCAAAGAGAAAAAAGCCGCTTGCATGAACAAAACGAGTGATAATACGTATTAAAACGAAATCAAATTAATGGAATCAATTACACGATTATAATAACGAAGATTTACTTTATTTGATGATTATGATTGTTAATGCAATGAAATTTATTATTGTGTCAACATTTAATGTGTTTGATTAATTGCTTGATATTTGCTTGAGCGAGAACGGCTTTTTTTCGGTCTTAAAGGCACAGTATGTCATAATGCGATTATATTTCAGCGCTGAGATTGGGCTACGGTATGAGCGGTAATTATCTATCAGCCTTTTACCACGCTCACTTGGAACTCGTTATTCTCAATACCTTTTCGGCAGCGAGTGTTCTCATCATGGTCTGTCTAATCGTGGATCGATATATCTTCGTATTCTTTCCAGCTCGTATTCGTACCGGAAACGCGCGCAAGAATGTCAGCTCCTTCATATTATCTTCCTTCATCGCCGGTTTTGTGGTAAAGAGTTTTAAATGGAATAATTCTCTTTTTTATTTTTTAACGATGACAAAACAATGTACCATCAATTGTTAAAAGACGATATCGACGTTGCATATAATAGTTTTTGTGCAGTATATACTTATTAAATTTAATTCTTTTTTAGATAAGTATTCCGTTATCGTTTATGAGAATCACTTATGAAGAGCAGGACGGACCCAGTACTTCATTCACTTTACGTGAAAACGTGTTTATTACGCGGAGTATGATATGGAGAGCATATATTTGGGCAATGGAAATCGTAGTACGGATTTGTCCATCGATTCTATTTATTATACTGAACAGCTTTGTCATCATGAGATTCCTTCAGTTAAATGTTCAGAACCGTCAATTCCACGCTGTCTCGGATAAATTTCGGACTAACAACGCGCCTGATACGTCACTACTGTCTCGCAATCGAGGCTACATGTAATAATAATTTTAAAAAATTGTATTTTGATCTCTAACAATGAATTATTGAGCAAATGAATCATAGACACTTTTTTTTTAATCATACACAATGCTTTTAAATAATTTTACAGAGAGGAACAACATTTAGCAATATTGACGACAACAATGATTTTGTGCTTTTTTATTACGACGATTCCATCAAGTCTGGTGCCAATATTGTATCCTAATCGCCATTCATTGGATCTTCGTTATCAAACCTTTCGAGTGTGTTCGGCGATCGTTGAACTCAGCAATTATGCTATTTATATTCTTATATATCTCGTTTGCAGTACAGAGTTTCGAAAGGGATTACTGCGATTTTTACAAGTAAAGATCTATAACGATTGTATCTAGTTTTTTCATCAACAATTTTCATTACAAAATAAATAAGAAGTAGCACTAATTTAAGTGGGTGTTCGTAATTAATCACTTGAAATGTTTTTCTGACATTATTATAGTAGCTTGTAATTTGCATAAATAAGGAGGACATATAACATTGATCTCATAACTTTAATTCGCAGGGAAGATGTAATGAAAATATGGTGCAAGATATTGATCAACCGGTAGGTGAAATCGAAGATTTTAGCCGGCACGGGACCACTGTTCGATTGACACCAGAACATACAAAATTGAATTCTCCCGAGTCTCCAACTAATAAAGAAACTAGAGTGGAGGAAGATTCTCATGCATTAGATGCTACAGCTTCCATGCTGGAACGCCGAGTCATTGCATAATTAAATCGTACTAAGAACATAGTATTAATGTTTATCATTATGAATTGTACATTTATGACATGCTCCTCTAATTAGAATTACATTGAATAATGGATCAAAAGTAATGTATCAAATAACTCATTTTAATTATATTTTTATGCTTTTTCTTAGTATTTAAAAATCGTGAACAATTGTGTGTTACATTTTATATTATACAGTTTTTCACAATGAAATATTGTATGATATAATATTTATTAAAGTATGATTTATCGATATTTATTTTTTATTTGAAAATTTTTACTTGCATATAACTTATTAAATTACAGTTTTGAAATATTCTAACTTACAATTTCACGACTCACTTAACTTACCCCAGAGAGAATAAGGCATCCCATGAGATTACCCTGAATATACTTAGGATAAGTGTTCTGAAAGACTTGGGAACTCTTTTGGAATTTTTTAAGAAGTCTTTTAGAGATTTGTGCTATGATGGAGTCTTCTGTTATCTGGAACATTATGCCATTTTAAAAGATATATTGCCATTTTAAAAGATTTATAGTAATAGTTATACAAATATACTTAATATGTGGAAATTATCTGATTGTATTATAAAATGGCATATAATTAGCATATAAGTTAATAAAAACATATTTAATATATGAAAATTATCCATATTATTATTATGATTATATTATAAAATAATATATAATTTTATAAATAAAGTTATAAATTAAAATATATTCAAATAAAATAAACGTAACTTTGAATATATACATCTTTCTTTTTTTTAGGATTCTTATGCTCTAATCTAACCTAACCTTCCTGCTTCTCCTCCATGCTACTTCTTGATGAGAATTCATAACCTAAACTTAAACTGTCAAAGTGTAAGTGACATACATACTCTGATTTATTGATTACGGTGCGTAATCATAAAGTAATTTGTTCTGGCTCGCGTATTCCGCTATGCAATATTTTCTTAAGCATATTCAAGCATTGTTTACACAAGAGAATTGATGTGTTAGAAAATTAAAAGAAATAAGTCTTATTAGAGATAGAACAAGTAGTCGTATCTACAATCAAAGATATCGTCTTGTATTGTGTAATAATACGACGCATTTGGCACATTTCAAGTAATAAGTGAAACTCATGAGCTACTAAATGTTTGACTATTATTTATCTTTTCAATAAAGGAACTCCACGATGTTCGAGTTGCCAGCAGAATTGACAGCTAAACCTTTAGCTTTGATAGGTTTAACAGGATTAGACATTACAAATCCAGTACATCGATCTATCTGGGATGCATTTAGCAACAATCGTAGACCGGATGGTGCAGCAGTTCAGTTCAAACTACTCAGTTTGTCACATGAGTTTCCTACTGTTAAACCAAAGGTATAATGTGCTGACTGCTAAAATGTATTGCTATAAAAGATATCAAATTGAAATTAATTCATATTGCTATGTATTGTTCTTATATATTTTAGCGTAGTTCATATGAATGGTACATACCTAAAGGGATATTAAAAAGAAATTGGATGAACAAATATCTCAATGACATTCCTTCTGTAGTTGTTGTATTTTATGATTTGGATTGGAATGATCCTTTATGGAATGAGAAGAAGATGGAATGTGCCTCTAGAGTACAATCGTTAAGGTAATAAAGAAGCTATCATAATATATTGATTGTCATATTATTTTAATATAGTATTCAGTTTGATGTTATATTTTTTAGAGCTTCCCTTGATGGAAGAAGTACAAAAATAGCTGTAGTATTAATACAGCGTGCTATTCAACCACCACCTGGTGCTGAGGATGTGATTGCAACTGAGCGTGCAACAGCACTATGTGGAGCTTGTGATTTAACAGCAAAATTTTTGTATATTTTGCCACATGCTGATCATTTATTGGGATATACATCTAGGTACATTTGATTTTACATTTCTCATTCTCATTCTTCTTTTTAAAGGAAATAATATATCTTTTTTTTCTCAACAGGCTAGAGACAGCATTTTATGATCTAGCTCAAAACTTTTATCATCATGAATATCGGAATGTTAAAAGTCATCGCGACCAACTCACTAAAAATGTTCATCAATACTTGTTTGTTCGTCATCAGTTTAAAATGGCATTCTTAAATGAACTCAAACAAGAACAACATCTCGCTCAAAAGTAAGATTAGATTAGAAATGCAAAGAATTTTTGTATATTCTGATATCTATATATATAAATATTTTGTAGGCATTATGCACAAGCTTACCACAATCTATTAGAAACGAGAATGACAGATGCAAATGCAGTTGAGATCAAAACTATTGCAAGTTTTATAAATTATAAGTTATGCAAAATAATGTTTTGCTTAAATCTCCCGAAAGACGCCATCTCTCAATTTAGACTTCATACAGAAAGGTATAAAATGTTTGCTATACTAATTGTACTTTTGCAAAGGTTCAAAACTTTGACAGTAATGATTATTTAATACTAATAGATTTAAGTTAAAAACCGGACCAAAAGAGCTCATGTTTGAACACCATGCTTGGATGAGTGGTCAGTTCTCTACATTCGCGGAATTGTTCGATGAAGCAATTCGTCAAGGGTTACCCGCTGTTCAAACGCAGCATCCGGGTTATTATTTTCAATTAGCTGCCAATCACGCAGGTTTACGACAATCCGCGTGTAAAGACCTGTGTCAGGTATGATTGATCAGTTGTTTAATAAATGCATTGTACTATTCTGAAGTGTTTATATTATTTAAACTTTAATATTCTTAGAATGTAAATAGCTATCCAGATCAAGATCCATTAGCAGGTGAAGAGAAACTAGAATTTTATGGACAACGTCCATGGCGACCTGGAAAATTGAGTGCAGAACCTGCAGATACAGCAAGAGAAGCTATTGGTATACAGGCTTTACAATATAGAGAGAAAACCTCCGTTAATCATTCTGTAAGATAATTATATACTTATGTATTTCTAAAAAAGCATATAAAAATAATCTCTATAATAAACGTTCTTTTTCAGATGATAATTATTGGTTTGTTAGGAAATGCGATATCGCAGTTCAAAGTGTATCGATGTCCACGAATGCGACGATTATTAGGTATGATTTGCAAACGAAAATAATAATTTGTGAAATACTTATATGCTTTTTTCTTTAAGTTGTACAAATGGCAGAGGAGTACTTCAATGCTCGAGATTATGGCAAAGTTCTGACGTAAGTTAGAAATAATTTTCTTCTCTTTGCTTACAATTAAAGTCCTTGGCGAATGATGCTTTGTCATTAAATGACAAAGTCATTGATTCTGAGTCATTTTCTCTAGACCATTTTTTATATTAACATCAAAATCATAAAATTTGATTGACCAGATTATTGATGCATATGTTATGGGAATATCATGGAGAACGATGGCCAGTCTTGCTGACAGATATCTTAAAGAATGCACTGCGGGCCGCGTATCTGTCGACAAGTATTCAAGATTATCTCACTCTGGCTCTTGAAGCTTTGGGACCCTCAACTACATTCTTAGAAGAGCGACAAGCTATTATTTATGATAACATTATGAATATTCTACAGGTAATATAATTAGATTAGCATTTATATTTTGATACTAAACATGCTATATGGCAATTATTTTATATTTGATAATAGAAGAAACCACCGAATCCAGAACCAGACTTACCAGATGATGTTAAGCATCTGGCAGTGGAAAAGTGGACATTGGAATTAAGTCGTCCAGAGCCGACTATTTTTACAATTGATGACAATAACATGACATCGTTTGTCGACCTTAAAGCACGATTTCTGCAACCGACGTATGCAGTGAATACAATGATAACGGTGGAAGTTATCATAAGGTATTATTATGTTCAAATCTGTCTATTTGGAAAAATATAGTTTTCAAGAATTATAGAACATAATTTTATAATAATCTTTTTGATTGTGCAGGAATTCGTATTGTGGTACCATTGAATTCACCAATGTATTAGTAACAATCAGTGGTCCAGGTTATAATGTTGAGATTCCAGTTAGCGATACTCAACAATTTAATCTTGTTTTTCAAGCGAAGGAAACGAAGAAATTTTATTTCAACTTTAAAGCACCTCATCAAAATGATGGCGTGGAAATTCGCATTAACACAGTTTCGTTGCAGATGGGTGATAACGCACATTGTTGTATTATATTAAGATTTTCAGCTATGGGTAGGGATACGAATTTGTTTGACCGTTTGTATCCTGAGATACAACAACTTCGGTACGTCTATATAGAGAATAATTTTCTTAGCATCTGTTAGATATTTGAGAAAACTAATATAACTTTTACCTGCATTAGCGGAGGCGAATTTGAGGCGATAAGACCATTGATTCATGCAGAAATCAAACAGGAAGAATCCAGTTTAAACATACACGCAGAATCCAATAATCCCGCGCTTTTAGGCGAGTGGCTACCCATCACTATATCTCTATCAGCTAACGAAGATGTAACTGCTGTTTCTTTACATATAACACTCGTACCAGATGGTAGCAACGAGCAATCAAGTATGTTTCTCACACTCTCACCTTTTCCAAATATTTTGTCTTTTTATAAATTAACATTTCTTTTTTTTTTTCATATCTGATCTTATATCGCGCATTTTTCTAAAAATAAAGTTTTAAAATATATATTTTAGCCGAGCTAAGCTTGAACATGCTTAATAAGCAGTCAAAAGTATTAGTTCCTGTTAACAATATAAATAAAGGTTCCTGTGCTAAACATGTTATATATATTAGAGCACATAAAGTGGGCGACAGAAATATCGTTGTAAAGGTATGTGTTCTCAGGAGTCAATACGTCAATTAACCGTAACAGAATATGCTATTATTATTTATCATAATTAAATAACAGGCGGAGTATTCTAGACCTGAACAAGTCAAGGGAAATAAGGAATTGACATATATGTTGGCAGTTAAGAAACCATTTGAAGTAGCAACGCAGTTTTATACCACACTGTTCGAGCCACTAACAAACGGATTTGTTAATGAACCATTTATCATTATGCCTCATATTACATGCGTTTCTCCATGGCCTATAAACATTTTAAACACATCTATAGAATTGGTAAGCTCACAATACATGATTATGTAAAATTATAAGATTACTTATATAAACTATGCTATATAAGAGGATTAGAAAGTCATAAATAAAAATTGTGAAATTAGGCGGATTCTATTGAAAGAGAGCACAGTCTGGATAATCAAGAGTCCATTCTGACGAATATTACACTGCGTGATGGTGAGGCAGGAACTGACGCCTATTGTTTGATTCCAAAAACAGGTGGTGAGCAGCCTATCAGTACCGGAGTATATACTATCAAATGGAAAAGGTACCTATCGACTATTGAATGATTGTTACGACGTAGGATAGCTCTGTAATATTTATTTGTTTTAATATTAATATACTTTTATTTTCGTAGAGCAAACGATGAAACGGCATTGGAAACTAGCAGTAGTGTAACTTTAGCTCCTCTATGTGTCGAAGACGCAGTGATCGGACTGGAAGCCAAAATGCCAGCCCACGGATGGGTTCGCACACCATTTTGTATATCTTACTTCATAAAAAATCATTCCGATTATCTCGTCACTTTGCGCTTAGCTATGGAAGGTAGTGATGCCTTCATGTTTGCTGGGCAAAAACAGGTAAGCATAGATTCCACGTTTGCACTATATAAAGTATAGAATAATTTAACTATGCATCCTTCTATTTTTAGGTTGACATTTATATATTACCTAGAAATATAAGGAAAGTTGATTGGGTCTTACGACCGCTGGTCGCCGGTTTTGTGGCTCTTCCAACGTTATCGCTAACAGTACCTGCAGGTAATGACGTCATCTTATCTACGAAGTAATTTAAGGATTCTTGATATTTCCATTTGTTTAAAATAAACAACACTTATAACGTATAGATGAGGAACATAAGACGGGTAAAACACGTTTGTCGGAGGTGGTTGAACGTTCATTGCCGAGTCACATATATATATTGGTAAGTGGAAATAATAATAAATAAAATACGCTCAATAATATACTTAATTTATTCGTTTAATGTTTACAATAGTACTATATTGTAATATATGACGTTCTTGCAGCCGAAATCGCAATCTTTAGCAGAATGAACGTATTCAATTTTGGGACTCTTTTCTTATGGGAGGAATATCGTAACTTTTCATCAAACTGTATTATAAAATTAGTTGTACATTTATATATTATAAAATTAGTTATATATTTTGAACAGACAATTTGATAAGTTGTAACTTGTTGAATATAATTTATTTGAATTATTTTATATTAAATGTCTCTAGTTTTTAAAACAGCCTGACGTTATGAAGTTCTCAAGTTTTAACAGACATTCGTTAAATGGCAGTAACTATATCGTCGTCATGCCACGACGCATACATGCATAGATATCGATCGCTTCCAGCGAGCGTTACGTTTTGTGCGTCACCGTAGAAACCGTGTAACTCACGATACATCAGTAAACGTGAAATAATTTTCCTCTTCCATGTTTCTTTATTATAGCGTGCTTTTAGTCAATAATCGTACTAAAACTAGTTTCTAGTGGATACAAAATATTCTCGCGTATACGGTGAGCTGCAGTAATAGTGCTATGAAATGGCGAGGAGCGGCAATATTGATATCGGAAGCGTTTTTGACGAATACCTGCAAAAAGAACAACAATTCGAACAAGAAATAGAAGAACGGTATTCACGTTGATAATTTATAATATTGGTTAGAAGTTAATTTTAATGAATTAAATTACAATTAACATGCATATATATTCTTGCAGATAATTATCATATTCCATTTTACTTTACAGTAATAAGTTACGTCGCGAAATACCCAACAGAAACGTTGTCAAAGTTTCCGACTCATTCTCGACGAATCTTCCCATAAACTTGGAAAAATCTCGCATTCGTAATCAGACTCTTCTAAAGGTTTGTTATAACGCTTTTCTCACGTTAAAGCAAGTAGCATTTACGTAAAATTTTAAAATCACGAATTTGACACATATTACAGACGATATATATCACTTTGGAATAATTTATGATCTACCGATAATTTTGCCAATTATGTGACTAATGTTATTCAGCTGCAATTAATTATTCTGTTACGCACGCGTAATTTAAGAACCGTTACTAACCATATGCTACCATGAATAAAACGTCGAAGCATTTCTGAATTGAAAGACTAAAGTATTCTAATATATGTAACAGTAACGCGAGATGTTCATAAAATTATGCGTGCGTTGACATATGTAAAAGAAATATACGTATATATTTTGTATTCTATTAGTAGACTCAATAAAATTGCGAACTTATATATTATTTCGTGACAGGATCTGGAGATGTCTAAAGCTCGTTTGAGAACTTACGCATCTTATACGCCTACCGATGAAGAATTACAGCAAATTTTGTCGGCTTATCGAAGCTACCTCCGTAAGAAGCTCCGAAACATGGATTCTTGACGATATTATTCTTACGTGACGAGGAGAAAGTCACTGGTGATCGTTAGCTCAACCCGATAACTCGAGCCGAACGAACAAACTTCCAAATGAAAAGTTTGTTGATCGTTGGGATCGATGAATCGAGCTGATTATTGATGTGTACGTAATTTACTGGTGACTGCGTTTTCGCACGTTCAATAACGTAAGAACCGATTTATTTTATTCAGATCGATATAATTTAGATCGATGTATAAGACGCGCGTAATTTTCTCTTGACTTCGGATCTCCCGCTTATACTGCCGTGCACTTCCAGTCGAGTTTGAGAGAGCAACCGTATTATTTTCATAAAACTACATTCGCAAAAACCGAATGTGAAATTCATGTACGTACATAACAACTCGTCCACTTGCTTACTTGAATCTGCATATTATCGATCATAATAATTGTCACTATACACTGTATAAAGTGTGCCACGAAGTCTATTACATTATAATATTGACAATTGTTTTAGACACACGCGAAATCTCAACCTATGTTAAACACGCAATCTGTCATAAAGTAAGGAACGTGCTCGTAGCTAACTCATCGCCTTCCGACGAAATATGAACTAAAAGCTGAAATCTAAATAGCGAGCTAATTTGTACTCTAATCTACCTGCGCAAAGGTCTTTGCGAGCTGATTACAATGGTAAATAGCGTTTCCTTTAAATACCCGCGCGGCGATCGCTTACCGTTCGACGATACATTCCCCGGACGGATCGATAGGATCTCTTAGTCGCTAGCACCGGATCGTCGGCGAGCTTCTCGAAGGATTATGCGACGGAAAGATGCGTAAAGAAGACGCGTGGACGGACAAGTGCGAACGACGTGTGCTCCACCTGTCCGTATGCCATATTCATATTCATTTTCCACGTGTGGCCGCACTATCATTGCTGATAATTACTGGCGCGCACAACGTGTACACCCGATAGGACGGCCACGTTTCAGAAGCTACCTGATAAGAGCTCAGGCCAATAATTCGCCGGCGAGTCGCGTTTATACTTAGCGCCTTCTGTTTTACATGCGATCCGCAAAACTTACGCGAATCTAGTCATGACCTTCGCCGTTTATTCGTCCGCGTGACTTTTGGCTCGTTAAACGCGTCGACAGATTAGATTTAATCCATTACTACCGCGAATTTTACTGCTGGCCTCGTATGTCACACAACACAAACAGCTTTCCGCAAGAACTTCAGGTAAAGTTACGCAATTTATGCAAATATCGTCGTCCTTGCGCATACTAGTTTCACTTACCTCTCTCGTGCTCGTAAAATATCAAACTGAAATGCTAGACGGAAATCGAGAACACGGAATTGGTGTTCCGTGCATCGCGAAAATTTTAGAGGGACTGAGAGGCGCGCGAAATGAGAAATGCGACGAGGAGTATCAGCTACCTCGCGGCGTATAATTCTGTATTTCTTCTACGTGGCATAGCTGCAGCAGCTGAGTAAACGACATGGCGCTGTGACTTCTTACTCTGACCATTGTGTGACACTTGAAAACATTTGTATCAACAGTCTTCATTCTTTCAGAGATACCGTGTCAGCAGTTTTGGTCAAGGACCCCCCGTGTGTTGCATTCTTCAAAGGATGATATTTACAAATTATTCACTCTGATCAAGATCATGTTATTTTTGTGATTTTACATAATGGCGCAAACTGACGCACACACTTCATTTTTACACCGAGACTTATCTATTTGGAGCGCATTACAGATTCTCCCTTTTTGAGTCCACTAAAGGACACACTTTATAGGATTGATATAGAATTATCGTTTCGACGCGTTATCGTTCGTTCAGTTGCATAAGCATAAACCGGTATAAGTTTGTTGCATTTGACTGCCAGACAGCCAGGCATTAATACATTATCGCTACACTCAGTGAAACGTAACGCTTACCAAACGATAGACGCATATCATTGGAAGTAACGTTTGGTGTCCTCGCTCACAGACCGAATACCATTTTTACGCAATCTAGTCATTTAAATATTTCCATTTCGTTGTTGCGCTCTTTGTAAATTTGTCAATTATACGAGTTTCCTCTATAATTTCATAAACTTTATAAATAGAAAAAGGAGAAAATATTTACGAGTACGTATTAATTTCATTTTTCATATTTTTATGAGATCAATTTTATAATCAGCGATGATTTAAGATGAAATAAGTAAACAATTGACGCATATTTCCTAGAAAGTGTCATTGATATTTTATCGCGAATGACGTGATACTACTGTAGATCAGCGTTTCTAAAAATAGTACTTTTTGCGTAAAGAAATGTTTTTATAATAATATATATAACATGACATAAAGTTATAATTTGCATGAATTGACTAATAATTTGAGAAGCACTGCACTTTGCAAAAATATTAAAGATTGAAAATTGTCAAAATTAACGGAACGAAAGCAACGTGAGAATGGGTAAAGATAAATATATGTGCTCATTTAAATAATTCCTTTTATCATAAATTATAATTTTAAATAAATAATTATATTTGACATGACTCAACATTTTCAAGAAAGCAATTCCGCATTTGTTAAAGATTTTATCGATTTATGTGACAAAAATAAAATATTCTATACATTTATCAAATAATTTTTAATTCGGATATAAATTAAAAAAATTTTTTCCTTACAATCCGTCCTTTTAAAGTTAAAGATTTGTTTCAACAAAACACAATATTAGATTTTGCATAAAATATTTTTCTATTTAGAAATGTCAAGCCAATAAAAATACGTTATGCTGCTTTTTTACTCAACTCATTTATATATATAAATGTTGTTTTATGCAGAAATGTGATGATTTGAACATGAACGTTATCCTTTAAACGATTAATACACAAATATATGTCATGATGTAAAATACGTAATATAAAATAATATTAGTTTAATCAATTTTCAATGAAGTTCATATAAAATTTCATTTATAACAAAATTACATTACATTTCACATTTTTTAAGAATTATTTATTGAAGAAAACAATTATAAACATAAAATCAACTTATTCCGATTTCTTATCTGTTCTTATGCAATAATACACTTGGGTATTTCTGATTTATTAAAGCATTAATAATTGTTTTCATTACAAGTGTTTTGTTGTCATACATGATAATAGAATGATTGCATTCAGCAGAAAGCAACGTTTAGTGATTTGAGAATCTAACTTTTGTGCATATATTTTTCAATTTTAACTAAACTTAAAAGTAGATACTAATGAAGCCTATTGATTACTAATCGCTTATTAAACTTCGTCCCACTAAAATCCTATTAATATAATGAATAAATTTATTACTTCTTTGTATCGTATTTGACGATATTCAACATCATATTATAGAACATTGAATTTCTGCTAAATTCGACGAACTGTAATGTATGCATTTATGTCAGACATAAAAACAAATTTGTAGCAATGTGCTTTTAGATGTCGTTGCTTATCATTAAGAAATAAAGTTAAGTTTAAGCAACTACTTGAATAAATAAATAATATTCTATTGTTTTAAATTCTGTAGTAGAAAATTTGCTATTATAGGCACAATCTTTTCGGGTTCGTTCAAATGCACGTGATGCGTCCCTTCCACTTCGTGGTACTCGAACTTCTTAGCTTGCAGTTTTATTTTTTCTAATACCATGTGATAATAATGAGGTTGTTCAAATTTCATCCCAGGAACAGCACGAATGTTGAGATAAGCGCATTTTATTTGAGATGCGTAAGCAAGTACTAAATCCAGGGATAGCATCCCTAAGAGTGAAACCTAAAAGTAACATATATATATATATATAAATTTTAATATCCTTTCTCATATTGCTTGCAAATCTCATAGTTACTCTCACTAGATAATATATAGTATAATAAATACTTCACCTTTAACCTTGGGTCACGGGAAAAGAAATATTTTCCCTTCAAAAATGCGGGTCTTATACCGCGCTTCATTAATATTTCTGCTGATTCTCTTGTTATAGAACCATCATAGCCTTTATGCACTATATCAAGCATTTCATCATATTCATAACATGGTACACTATCCAATTCTTCATATTTTAAGAATCTGTCAATATAATCTCCAGAGATTTTTGTTGTTTTTGTCACATCTTTTACGCTTGGGCTAACAATATCCAAACTTATAAGTAGATCGACTTCATCAGGATATGATGCTGCATATAGAAAAGATATGGCACCACCCAATGAATGTCCAAGGAGGCTTACCTAATCCCATAATATATACAATTACAACAAGCTTATATTAAGCTATACAATGTATATATTATAGTCATTGTAAAAAATATATTAGTGATGTAACATAATATACACGTATATGTTAAAATATTCACATTAACATAACTCCTATATTTAATCTGGTTAAATATATTGATTATCATGCAGGGTGTTTGAGTGAAACATAAAAATGATATTACATAAGTGCAAGCAAGGGTGACTGTTAAATTATGTAAGAACATAAAACAAGACATTTAATTATTGCATAAGATCCATACTAATCTGTCTGCAATTATAAAAATAGAGTGGGTAAATTTATTTTCACCCGCTAACCTTATTCCATTTAAAATGTTTAACAATTCTACGAAGAAGTATGACACCATCCCAATAGACATAATAGAATTGACTTTTTGGATAATGCGAGGATAAACCATGCCCAGGCATATCCAAGCAAAGAATGGAAACATCTTTGGGCAGCAATGGTATCAACGTGTCAAAACTGCCTGCATTATCCTGACGACCATGCAGTGCCACTATTGGTTGGAGCTCTCTAGGACCCCACCATTTGCCTGCAGTTACAAAATTATGTTTTTATTTGATTCCATCTTTTAACATGTACTATTTAATCAGAGGTTCCACTTTTAAGAATCTGTAAGTAATTCATTAAAAGAGAGAAGATTAAAAGATAGTATATTTGTATAATTTTTGGAAATGAAACAAAGCTGTGTTGCACAGCTATTAAAATTTTCTTATTTATCATGTGGGATTTGTACACAGTTATACAACGATGTTTTATGTGATCTTTTTATACCTTTCCCATATTCAATATACTATTATGCAAAAACCAATACTTTGTTGAATGTTATATAGCATTTACATAACAGTCAGCCTTTCTTAACATATCTTAATGACAATTATGATGGTTAAGAGTAATGCAATGTGAATATTAAATAATGTATACTGAAAATAACATATATTTTTTAATGTTAAATATACCATACCACAGAATGCAAATATCCCAAGCCAAAAGTATGCAAACTAAATAATCAGTAGCAATAAATAATATAAGTAAACTTTACATATTTTATAAATTATAATGCAATTGTGTTGCACTTTTATAAAACATAGTATTTAAAATTCATGCCTTTATGTAACTAGTATGTTATTTCTTCGATCATAATCATAGAGATATCGTTGTATAATTGATTTGCTAGCTAACCTTGTCCCACTTGTAATATTTAACAATTCTACGTAATACAAGAACCCCATCCCAAAATATATAGTAGAATAGTCCATCTGGTAGATGAGAAGACAAGCCATGACCAGGCAAATCTATAGTCAGTATAGCTATATTTGATGGCAATAATTGTACCAAGTTGTCAAATGTTCCCGCATTGTCTTGCCAGCCATGTATTGCCACAATAGGCTGTTTATCTTTTGGTCCCCACCATTTTCCTAAATTTATCAATATATTGTGTTTAAAGTATTGTTTATTCATTCAGATTGAAATAATCTTTCTCCAAATTATTTATTATTAGTTATGTTCAATAGAATCAAACTATTTTCTAAGTGATTAGAAATTTAAGAATCTGACTTCATCTTTAAATCTAGCTAAGATTTAAAAATCATTACTAAATTTAAAAATATATATATCATCAATGTTTTGAAATGAAAATATTTAATATATGTTACTAATATATCTATAAGATATAAATATTGAACGGCTAAATCTTTGACAATGTTTTGCTTCTACTGATACAAATAAAATTTGTTAATTGCAATTAACATTTGATAGAAAAGATAGAACTGGATGAAAATGTTATTTTTACTAACCTGTTACTTGACCCCATGGCATTGGAATCTCAATATCCTCGAAATCTACAAAAAAAAAAACCGTTTGTTATACTATTCTTTAAAAATATCCAGTTATTTTCTAGACATTAAATATATTAGCTGCGTTTAGTCGAAAAAGTATCTTACTAAGCGCTTTGTGCTATACGCGCGGCCAGCATCCTTGCAAATGTTATATTTTCTGCTGAACGACATTAACAGTTTACATTTCTTCAATATTTTTATTAAGCAGTTGTTATTTTTTTTCGACATACTTTTAATATTTGCTTAATATTTTGGAAAAATGTCGTTCAATGACAAATTAACAGCGCAGCGCAAAGCACTTTTATGTTTATTTTGAACGCAACAAATTTACCTTTCTTCATATATCCGTTCACAGCATTATCAGCTGAGTTTGAGTTACTGTTGGTGTTCATTTCGGTGCGGCGATTCACAGTAATATAAAACTTATATCCATAAAGCACACGATTTTAATGCATCACTCGTTTACAGTTATACAATGTTACGTCGGTGAGATCAGGACACAGACTGTGAAGAAAATATCTAGTCACTGTCCTTCACGGAAATACGTCAACATATCACGGTCATATATTTCCTACTTCTATAAAAATACTACTTTACACGTTATCTTAGTCTTTTTAATCACCTAATACATAATTATGTACCAAAAAAATATGCTTTCCTAGAGAAATATTTTTGTTTTTACACGCGTACAGTCACGAAACAAAAATTTAATATTGCATCACTTTCTCACGATAGAGATCTATCTTTTTTGCTAAGTTTTAGACATTTGCACACAGCCATCTTTCTCATTTTTAAACTAAATAAAACAACGTTACACGTAAGATTCACATGAGAAAAACGGAACTTGGAATTAGATGGATACGTTTTACGCCACGTATGCCTAAGATAATAAATCTGAGCTTGATTCTATTCTTAACATTTTTTGTATACGTAAGTTATTTGTATACGTAAGTTTTATTGCTGTTTTATTATTAATTGTTTTAATATATATGATATGATTATACTTGCGCGAAAGTATTTATGTATACACGAAATTTTCAAAAATATGAGGCCTATTCGTTTAATAAACTTTAAACTTTAAACGATAAACTTTTAAACGATAAACTTTTGAACCATAGTTCGATAAAGTTAAAACGAATATTACATTTGGTTTCCAGGTTTGAGCCGCGTGGATTTTTCTTTGTTTGATTCCGACAACATTTCCATCCGCTTCGTCAGAGAAAACGACCCGATCATTCATCGGGTTTCGCGCAACCCTATGAGTAATGCTGCGTTCGGAAACGTTACTCGAGTACTCTCCCTCTCTTTTTATCTCACTCTTGTATTTCGCTCACTCCAACGGCTATCGTCTAATATTGTGCACACAGTGTGTGTTTCCGAACGCAGCTTAAGTTCCATTTAGACTAGTGGCACACAAAAAACTTAAGCAGTAAAACATAAGCAGTAAGCAAATTGACTAATCACAGTCATTGATTCTTCTTACGGTCCAAGAATTAACGACTGTGATTGGTCAATTTGCTTACGTCTTACTGCTTAAGTTTTTCTGTGTGCCATGGCCCTTAGTGGTGATCGCCACTTTCATCTTTATTTCTCATTGGATATTAAAGAGGAACGAATATCCCGCATCAACACGATCAAATGGAACTTACCTTATGACAATCGTTGCCATGAAAAAATATCGTCTTTTAACTAAATTTATATTAATTAAATATATATATTAACAATTTTATATTGCTCTTATTTTATACATATATATAATATTGCTTATATATATACTAACATTATAAAGAGTGAGAAATGTGGAATTTATTTCGAACAACAAATAAAATAACGACAAATAATTTCACGCGTTCTTTTTAATTTCTGTACGTTAATTTCAAACTATAGGCCTGTTTTTTTGTATTGCACTGCTGAACTAGTGCAATAAATTAAAGTGAGAAAACGTATATTTGTCTCACTTTAATATATTGTACCAGTTCAGCAGTACAGTTATAAAGAACAGGCCTTATTATATTTAAATGAGGTTCTCACATTTGTTAGAGTTCGAGTTCGAGTTTTTTTAATTCATCGGTGGATCCATCGATGAATTAAAAAACTCGCCCTTACTCATTTCAATGCTTGTTAATAATGGAGAGGATTCTCTATCTTGGTGCCATTAAATTAATGAAGTGTAAGAAAAAATAATACTTATTGATAAGTAAATTATTGGCATAATTATTTTACAAATTATTTAAAGAAATTTATATTGTTCAGAATGATATCTCAAATTTTGCAATGTCACTTTTTCACCTAAACTGTGAATACATAAATGAACTTACGAAATTCTCCTCTCATAACCTAACATAATTACATCTTGTGTGATATGGTATAGTAAAACTACAGTTATCACTTTGTCGTATAAATGTCCGATTAAATTTCAATGTATTAAGCATATCCATTCATTAATGCTCGTTATCTAGATATACTACCACAATGAGTGAGGAATACATAGTGAAAACTATCTTACATGCAGGAACAAAAACTATTAATTTTATACCAGGAACAAAGGTTTGTAATTTTATATTTTAATTACACAATAAAGTTTTCAGTTATAAACATTGTAAATCTATTAATTTTATACGTGCGTGCACGTCTATCTTACAATTTTAGGTTATGTTTCATTTTAAAACTACAAAATGTGATTCTGGCAAAATAGTAATAGATGACAGCAGGACAATGGGAAATCCTATGGAACTGGTATTAGGAAAAGAATTCAAACTTGAAGTATGGGAAGCAATTGTACAAAAAATGGCATTAAATGAAGTTGCTTGTTTTAAAGTGCATAAAAGCGTAAGTTTGTAATATTTATATGTTACTTATTATAACTATACTTGTTATAACTATAAATCAGTCTTGGAGCATGTTTTTATGACAAACTTTGTTTTAGCTAGTGACTGCATACCCTTTTGTGTCTAAAACATTAAGAGAGGCTAACAAGCCACAATCAGAAAAGCGTAATCATCATTGCTGTGGTGTTACTCTACAAAATGAAGGAATTGGTTATGCTGATTTAAATGAACTTATAAAATGTCCTCAAGACCTAGAATTTACAATAGGTATAATGTATCTAAAGTTTTCTCAATTACTATAATTTTTGATATTTAATCTAAATATCTTTGATACTTTGATATTTTAAAATACTTTCAAAGTCCTTTTTGGTACAATATTTATTTTCTATTCTTTAGATAGAAGATAAAGATACACTTTTTTTAATTTGAGTATACAATTTATGTTTTAAAAAAAGTAAAACTTGTTATGTCTTATAGAACTCCTTAAAGTAGTTTTACCAAGTGAATATGAAAAGGAATCTTGGCAAATGACAGAGGATGAAAAACTCAAAAACATCCCATATTTAAAAGAAAAGGGTAATACCTTTTTCAAAGAAAAGAAATATGATAGTGCATCAGAGACATATGCAAAGGCTATTGGAATGTTAGAGCAACTTATGCTGGCGTAAGGCTTACAATCTGTATTTCACAATTTGTACTTGTTGAACTTCAATTAATGAAAACACATAAGGTTAAATATACTACATTACATTACATATTACAAATAATACTAATCTGTAAGGATTAATATGAACATTTTAATTATTGAACATTATCATTGACATGTACATGTATATATAAATATGTAAATATTTTTAGTGAAAAGCCAAACGATGAAGAATGGTTATCTTTAAATCGAATGAAGGTACCATTGCTTCTAAATTATGCACAATGTAAATTACTAAATAAGGAGTACTATTCTGTCATTGAACATTGTACAACAGTCTTGAAAACAGAACCAGGTTATATATAAAAGAAAAACTATGATACTAATAACATATTTTGCAAAAGCAATATTTAATTTATTTTTAATTTGCAGAGAATGTGAAGGCACTTTATCGACGAGGTAAAGCATATATCGGTGTGTGGGATGAGAAAAATGCTATAAAAGATTTAAGAAAAGTTGCTGAAATGGATCCTTTGTTACATAATAGCATTGAGAAAGAATTACAGGTATTTGCAATAGCTATTAAAGAGAAGGATATTGCACAAAAAGAGAAATTGTCGAAATTATTTAAGTAAAAATACAAATTTATACAAGTTATACTTTAAAGTTATGTTATAGAACAATATTAAAATCCTCAAGTATTCGCATTGGTTGATTTGCTTCAATGAATATATTTTTTTGTTATATTTTATTTATAAAGAAAAACTAGAGAAGCTAGTCACATATACAACATTTCATTGTAAAATCCTTGAATTCTAAGAATACAATATTAACTCTACCTTGAAGTAATTAGTATTATTAATATATATATAATTTTCTATCAAATACTTTATTGCGAATACTTAATAATTTATGTATATTAATAAGATATATATATATATATATATATATATATATATATATATAATGATATAAAAAAAATATTAATATCAATAGCAATAATGCTATTGATTTATATGTTATATTTAAATGAATTAAAAATATATATATTGTATTATTTTATAGAAAAACACAGATTATTGCTTTGGAATGTTGAGCAGCTTAGTAAGAGAGCCTTTGCAATTTACTAGACTGGGACACAAACTCAGAACTATCAATTTTCAGGTGAAGAGTGACAGTTCCAGGCTTCAACATTCCAAAGCAATAATCTGTTTTTCTATAAAATAATACAATAAATATTTTTAATTTATCTAAATGTAACATATAGATCAATAGCATTATTAATATTTTTTTTTATATCATATATATATATTGCTGTACATAGCTTTAAGTGTTAAATGTATTATTTTATATTTTTTACTTGATTTTAACAAATTACAATAATATATTTATTATTTATTGTTGTCATAAAAAATATATGTAATAAACAGTGTTTATTGTTGTTATTATTCACGTTGTTGTGTGAAATTTTAACTAACTCTGCAAATATTGTCATTTGTAAAAATAAAAATCTTAAACTTAAGTTAGTCGTTGAGTTGTATCTTTTTTAAAACATGAATAGTCAAAATCTTATGGTCTGTAATTTGCACACATAAGTATGGCGTCGCTCCATCCAGTAGATGAAGTCGGAGAACCTGTTGGCAGATACTACGGAAATGTTACTTTCTGACTCATTGGAGGATCACGCTGGCCTTGCTGTTTCGAAATCCATTGAGGATATCGTGGGTGTCTCTTTTCTTACCGGTGATATGGATGTAGTTAGCATCCCTGAGAAACATTCTTCTCCCTTTGTGAGAAGAAATTCCGCTCCCTCCTCTACTTCAAGGAAGAAAAAGAAAGCTTGCTAAACACCTGAAAAAACGTTTGGGTATATCAGGGATCGCTGCAGTCTTGTCTGGCATATCCTCCCTTTCCAGTCAGAGATAGATTAGGAAATCGTTCGCATATTTTTTTGTGATAAGGTAAGATATATCTCGTCTACCGGGATTTTTGGATCGACAACCTCAGGAGGACCTTTGCGTGTTTTCCAATTGCTTAACACATATGTACACAGAAATACACGAAGTGTAATGTTGTGCACGATTCAATTTGAACAAAGTGTGTACTAATGTGTATATATGTTGGGTAGGGTTAGGATTATTTTTCAACTATGCTTATATTTTTTAATAATAAATAATAAAATCTAAATAATAAAAAAGATATCCACTTCACGTCGCAAATGCCAGTCTCTTTTCAAGCCGCTACGCTTATTAATAGCGTGTTCGACTGGCCCTGAGTTAATCGCTCCGAGATTAATGACATCATAATAAGTCTCTACTAGCCAATCATAAAGTTTATAAGTACTTGTTCGACCAATAAACGTAGGCTAATTAACCCAGAGCCAGTCGAACATGCTGGGTGTTTACGATAATTCGAGTTGGAGTTAGTACGAGTTAGTTTCACTAGAGCCGAAAAATATGATAGGCACAAGCATCTAGTATTTTCATGATTCATGACAACTCAATGCTGTCCGATAAATCGAGTAGAGTTAGGATAACATAGTGGATAGTATATGTATAAGAATTAACAATATCAGGTAACATAGTTTCGTAAAATATATAACAATAATATTACGAATCAATGAGTTGTTACATTTTAGAAAAATTAGAAGCACTAAATTAAATTATGAAAAGATATCATGTATTTGTAAAATATTCAATAATAACAGATTAATAATAGGTTAGAATAATTGTTTTCTATTTTTGAATATTTTACAAATACATGATATCTTTTCATAATTTAATTCAGTGCTTCTAATTTTTCTAAAATGTAACAACTCATTGATTCGTAATATTATTGTTATATATTTTACGAAACTATGTTACCTGATACTGTTAATTCATATACTATCCGCTATACTACCCTAACTCTACTCTACTCGATTTATCGGACAGCATTGAGTTGTCATAAATCATGAAAATATTAGATGTTGTATCTATCATATTTCTCGGCTCTGGTGAAACTAACTCGTACTTACTCCAACTCGAATTATCGTAAACAGCCGCTATAACTTTAATTTTCACTAGAAAACATTAGTTTTCACAGCCGACTAGTAGCCCTCGAGCTGAATACGAATAGTGTTGTGTCGACGATTACGCAATTAGAATGCAACTTCCCAGTAAACATGCATGTCTAAAAGATGTCGAAAAGTTATCTAAAAGATATCTTATGCAACATTTTGTTGCATAAGACGTCTTTTAGATATCTTTCGACATCTTTTAGACATGCATGTTTACTGGGTTGTGTCGCCGTGTGCATGAAAATGTTTAGGGATATTGCAATTGGAAAGCACCCAAATATCGACGATGCATATCAACGGCGATGTATTCAATCAATACAATACGTTTTGTTGATGAGTATTATACCAGCTTAATATACCGTTGTTTATATATATATTGTCGATATTAAGATTATCTAAAGGCTTGGTTTACATCGTGCACTTGATATGCGTACTAAATAGTAACTTTCTATTAGATAATCTTAATATCGACGATATATAT